AATTCAGGATTGAAATTATTGTTAACATAACACATTACAGACATACTAGAATTTTTCACAGATTCTTGCATTAAGATATTTCTTCTGCCAGTCAAAATATTCTTCTCTTGACAAGACTAATTTTAAAAATACATATTCCCAAAAAGTGTGAACGGAAGCTATTTAAAATAGTTGAGCTAAGAATCAGAAATCTAGTCTTCACACCTCTCCTTAGAGAGGATTAATCATGTAAGATGTGGATCTCTACTATGTAGGCACTTGAATGTGAACTTTTTATCAATATCTTTCTATTATTGAATGAAAAAAAATAAATAAAAATTCAGGGATGCCAATCATCTCTTTAATAAATCTTGGGTGAAGTATGTCCTAAGTTGCCTGTTTTCTTTAGCTGAGTATAGCAGCAGCCTAAAATAACTGGCTGAGATGTGATTTCTACCATTGTAATGTCTGTAAATGTCTTAAGTTAAACAAGATGTGTAACATCTTATGGGTTAGGTTCAGTTGCCCAAACAGAAATGTCTTCATGCAGCTTGATACTCTCTGGAGTATCTGAGCCATTCATGGGCAGCTGTACAGAGAGCTCTTCCTTTTAGGAGAAACAATCTGAGGCTAGGTAGGGCTTCCTGGGCATTTCAAATGGCATTTATCCCCATTTTCTGCCACTGACTACACCGTTTAAAACCTAGAATTGAGCTCTGAATGCAAAGCAGTGAGATTCATTTGTATTACTCAGATATTTCATAATTTATTCTCTCTCATTTTTTTCTTTCTTCATTGACCGTAAAGGCAACCAAGATGACTTTTGGATGTTTATATCTAAGGGATAGATATCTAAAATTAAACAAGGAAGGAAGAAAAAAATAAATAAATCAGTAATTATAAGAACAGAATAACCAATAAAGGAAAATGGGGAATTTCCAAGATGTTTACTTTGATAAGGTCATAATTTATCTTGCTTATTCAACTTCTATTAACCCACATTATTATTGTTTTCCAGGGCTTTCCATTTAAACAAATCAAGATTCCCTACGTTCCTCATTTTAAGTCTCAAAACCAAAAACAGATTGTTGAGCTCCACAATGAAATACGGAGATCAGTATTTCCCACTGCCAGCAACATGCTGAAGATGGTAAGCTAAACATTGCAACTGGCTTGTTTCCACATCATTAGCAGAAGATTGTAGCCTTCTAAACAACCCACACTCAGATGAACAGAAAGAGCAGGAAGAGTGCTCTGGAGTCGAGATGAAGAAATCAGAACTTTATCCCTTAGTTTCTTCAGGCTTCGTGCTTAATCTTGCACACCTTGATGCTCCAAGCACTTGTAAAATCTTCACAGAAGTCTCAGATGGGCTACAAGGGCTATTTGAAACTTCTCTCCTCTCTCTCTTTCTCGGTTTCTCCCTTTAGAAAAACTCAATTAAGCAATTTAGGAACTGTTCCATGCCTGGGGTTATTTGTCTGCAGGAACCATGAATACTGGTTTATGCCAACCACATCTATTTGTTGCTGTCAAACCTACGCTAACAGCCTGCAAAGTGAACCACCAGTTCTTGCCTTCTATTTGTTCACTGCAATGGACAAGTATTGCAAGCCTTTTCAGGGAAAGCACTTAAACCAAGGATAAGGTACAAAATGATGGCTCAGATTATGGACAACAGTCTTTAGTCTGTGGAATCAACAACTCCCTTAGACAAGGGACCCCAAACCATTCTATGATTCTAAGATGTATGATTCTATGACTTAGTGCACTGCACCCTGCAAAGTTGATGCAGACAGCATCAGCAGACGGCCAAATGAAAGTGTCAATATGTTATAAAAATCCTATTAATCAGGACCATGTGGTATTGTGCAGAATAACCTGCTGAAGAATTGTGGTGCCCATGCCCCAGTAATGTTATCTGGCACAATTCTGTTTTCTGTTGAGGACCACAGGAGCATTTAATGCATAACACCCAAGTCACTCCTCCTGTTTTTTCTTCTCATGGATTGCACTAACATATTTGTGACATGGATAATTCTTTCTTTTTGTCTTTCAGGTGTGGGATGAGAAAGCTGCCAAGAATGCTCAGAAATGGGCTAATAAGTGTGGGATGAGAATCAGTCCAAGAGATCAGAGAGTCATTAATGGTACGGAGCCTGAGCTAATTCATTAATGACAGTTTGCAGATGACCCTTGTGCATGTGAACTAGAAATAAGGATAATTTTTAATCTGTTATACAATAACTTTTGAGGGTTATGGGACAGGAAAACATCATCTTTGTCAGAGAAGTACTTTGAAAGAGAAATTGTTGGAACATGAGAAAGAGGGGTGCTATGTATTTGCCTTATTTCTGTAGATTTACTTGTCTTAGTTTGGCTCCTGCTAGAGACAAGACAGCGCAATATGTGATTTTTGGTATAACTAAGTACAGACAATTCTGTGTAACATTTTGTAGTCCTAAAAGTATCTGTGACTGAAAGCTCACCAGAATCAAAGTAACATTTCCTGCAGCTTTCATAGGATAGGGTGTGCTGCCCTCTTCTCTAAATCACAGGGAAAATAGGTTGGCATTGTAGAGATTCTTTTTAGGATGGAGCTACAACCCCTCTGTCCTACCTCCCACCCTACAGCTTGTTTCTCTCCTGAGTAATACAAGAGACTTATTTCTACTTCAGGTATCACTTGTGGTGAGAATATATTACTGTCATCTAACCCAAGGACATGGGCTGATGCAATTCAAACCTGGTACAGTCAGTCCTCCAATTTCAAGTATGGATATGGAGCAACCTCAAAAAATGTCAATATCGAGAATTATACTCAGGTATGGACAACTGAAACAAAGTGCAATGATATATCAGAATTACAGGAGTTCACTTCAGGGAGCTGGCATATATTTGCTATCAGTTAAAAAAGTATCAATGTCATCAAACTATTACCTATCATTCACACTCTGATCCAAAGATTAATGATAAATTAAAACCCTTTTTCATCTAATTCTGAGACAATGAAGCCAGTATTTTGAAAGAGCTGTCCAGAAGGGAAATTTTATTCTGTAGAAGAAAAAGAAATCAGTACCTTCCACTTAGAAATAAATATTTTCTATATGAGGATTGATATACCTGATTAAGAAATATCAAAGCAAAATATCTATGGTTTAAATATTTTAATTAAAACTTTAGCATCCTGCCAGCAACTGTGTTCAAAAACATTTTGAAACCGAATGACATGGTTGATTCTTTTTTTTTGTTTGTTTATTTGTTCTGACAACTTAAGTTTAAACTCAAAAGCTAAATAGACAAAACAAAATATTACCTTCTAGTTCTGCTATTCTGTGAGAACTTTGATGAGGATTAAATACAAGTATCTGAAATAGTGTGATCAATTTTTATTCTACAGCTAATCTGGTACAACAGTTACCAGGTGGGATGTGGAGTTGCCTACTGTCCTAGGAACCAGTTCAACTACTTTTATGTTTGCCACTACTGTCCTGCGTATGTATTGCCTTTTTACTCCTTTAAGATTAAATAATTCTGGACAAATTTTCTAAAACTCCTGTAGTCCATTGGTCACGTGTAGGATAAAATGACTACAGTTTATTTTAACCATTTATGATTTTGTAAATGCTGATGCAAATTGTGGGTTAAATATCAGGTTAAATAGAAACATTTGTTTTATTTCACATTGAAGATACTAGGAAAATTTTAGCATGTGATTAAAAAAAGGTCTGTGTCTGTCAGAATCAGGCATTATGCACAAAGCATCCTATAGCTTTGACCACAAAGAGGAAAGTCAGATGCAAAGTGAAAGACAATGAATATTCACAGAGGTAAAGAGCACACCTGAAACAGCTGTGTGGCAGAAGGTGCCTGCTGAGCTTCTGTTCTAATAAGCCACAGTCACTAGAAAGCCATTAGAAAAATCAGAACTAGGAATCAGAACTGATAATGTTATACAAAGGCAAATAACCAATTAATTTTCTTTCTCTAAATCTTATTGTACCTCTTATTTAAGCTGAAGTTCATGTATACTATGAATATCAGAAATTAAAATCTGATTCTTTATGAAAATAATTTTACCAAAAAGTTTCTAGATGCCTTTCATTGCAATAAATAACATGAACTCTTGTTAAGGGCTGCATTTTTATATTGTTTTGTGTTGGGTTTTTTTTCAAATTTCAGAGGAAATAATCAGATGCAAATAGCTACACCTTATAAGAGGGGACCAAAATGTGCAGACTGTCCAGGTCACTGTGACAGAGGGCTTTGCAGTAAGTGAATGTGTTCTCCTCCTTACAACAAATGTTGTCCTACCTCAGATATTAATGTTGTTCCTTTGTAGTGTTTTACTTTTGAATAATTACCTGTCACTAATCTGGACAAAAGATTTTAGAACTGTCCCTTTTATTTCCCTCCAGAAATAACTGGTTAAATCTCACACCAGAGTAGGTATAACCTTCAGCAGGTGGGTTGGATCAGAGGTTCCTTCCAACCTCAGGCATCCTGTGATAATGGGGCACCAGAGTAGGTATAACCTTCAGTAGGTGGGTTGGACCAGATGGGCCTTCAGAGGTCCCTTCCAACCTCAGGCATCCTGTGATAATGGGTAAATTGTGCTAGTGTTGACTACTAGGTGCATTATCACACCATCACTCTCCTGCTGTCCTTTTCTGGAAAGCTCAATATAAGCTGTCTTCATGTGCATCAATATCTAAGGGCATGAACAGTCTGAAGGCATGAAGTCTGTCAGGCTTCTCACATCTGTGTGTACAAGAAGACCCGCACAGGCCTCTGGGTTCTGCAGATTTCTATGTGCAGTCAAAGTGTACAAATAGATGGGAACTGTAAGATACCACCCTCCTGCCTGGACTCCCTATTCTATAATATTTGAACAAATTTAACAGCAGAGCAAAAGTACCACATAGACATGCTGGAATCTCTTTCATAATCAGAAGTATCTGACTGGGACTTGTTTTTTTAATTAATATTTCATGTTTTTGTTTCTGTCTCTTGTATTTTAGCCAATCCTTGCAAGCATCAAGACTTTTTTGCAAACTGCAGAAATCTGAAAATGCTGTTTGGCTGTAACCATTCACTGGTGAAGGAGAAGTGCCGCGCCAGCTGTAAATGCACCACTCAAATCGTATAATGTCCTGGTAGATGTCTTTATAGCTGCTGTGAGACTTATTTTTCAGGAAGAGTAGACCTTGCTGGGAACTGTATTCTCTCTCAGTGCATCAGCTCGGATTGACCTATAGGTAACATTTTTTCTGAAGTTTGACCATTGCTTCAGTCCTAAATAAGTCAAGCAGCTCAAAATAACCTCTGACGTTATTTTAGATTTTGTGGAAATCAGGCTTAAGCTGCTAATGTGTTTCTCTGAGTTTTATCTTGCAGTGAATCTTCTGGTAATTCATTTATATTAAAATATTTTATGCTTTTTACAAAATTTGTTAAACACCACTCAACTTTGGTTATCAATGGAATGTATTCCTGCTAAATAAATACATGATTTACCACCAGTTCACAAACGAGTTTTTCACTGAAGTGGTTTATAATTCCATTTTTTCATTTGGAAAATTCCTTAGGGCTGTTTCAAGGCTCTTTGATAACTCATGAGAGTAGGGATGAGACTGGAAAATAAAGACAAAGCAAAAAGATGTTGCATCTTTTTCTAGGGACCAAACAAGAGGCACACGTTGAATTTGCCAAGTTTTATTCTGTGTTCTAAACACAAAGCTGCTGATATATCTGTTTATGCAGGTGATAAATGTTTGTTTTTTTTTCCATATGACACCAACAGTCAAGAAATAGGAAGCTTCTTAAAATACACAAAGAAAAACACAAAGAAAAAAAAAATAAAAATATATATCCCTTCCCATCTTTTCTATGGGAAATTCAGTCCCTTACTCAGTTGTAATTCATATTGGAACAAGTAGAAAAAAAAATCCCCATCAAAGTATTGGATTTTGTCCAGAATTTACCACAAAATATCTTAGTGCCAGCTCCTAGCAGTGCACACCTCTAGGATCTCTCCAAGAGGATTAAGTCCAGCTAAACTCCCAGTGGTATTTGCAGGCAGGCAGCCAGATCCTGCCTAGGGGGAAGTTTAGTTGGATCTCCTGCAGAGGGTCACAGTGCCATGTGAGTTTGTGTATTGCTTCTAATGATGCATTTCCTTGGGTAAGGTTTTTCATTTCATATTTTTCCAGGTCCTTTACCATGCAGGGAATGACTTCAAAGGACTGTCTAGCTGTATTGACCCAGAACTGAGGACTTAGATTTGTTACCTGTCAGTGGCATTGGTTACTTAGAGAAAATTTCTGACCCATTATTGAAAGGCATTATCAGAGTCATGCCTTTTTTGATACTGACAATACAATTATTTTGATTAAAAAGTATTGCAGAATTATGTTACAGCTTGCTTTTTTTTTTTTTTTTTTTTTTTTACATGTTACAGCTTTTAACTGATCTTTGATAGAGTTTAGAAAAGGAACAAATAGCTGGAACAGAATCTTCTCACTGAGCAGAGAAGCTTCTTCCTACTACCCTTCTTCTGACACTTCTCCCAGGTGCCATGCAGAATACACTAGTGTGTCCCACCAAACCTCCAGCTGCTCCTCAAGATGGGTGCTGGTCTCCTATAAGTATTGAGTCACATATACCAGCCCTGAGCAGGACTGATCCCGATTACCACTCTACCTTCCTGTTTGAGACCAGTAAATATGGTTTTCTCCATTGGACTGCAATTCTGGATAAAAACACAAGAGGGTGAACCATACCCAGACATCCAGCTGGTTTTAAATTTGCCAGCTCTATAAAGAGCTCCTCCTTTTACTAGAAATTACAGTTCTGGGCCTAACCTTATCTGATTTTAACATTTGCTTGCACAGAATCTCTTAGCTAATACTGGATTAACAAATTATCACTACATATAGTTTGTTAGTGGCTTCTTCTCCTATGTTGTTTCATCCTGTCTTTGTTGGCCAAATTACTATGATGTTAAAGCAATACATACCATCAAATTAAGACAATTTACGGTTTCCAGAATATCAATGACTAATTCTGTTGGTCTTGATCATGAAAGTTTGCCACTATTCTAACCTCCTACAACCACAGCAATACTTGTAGAAAGTGTAATTCAAACCAAAGCTGGGTGAAAATTTCCTGAGAAACCTATGTTCTCAGAAAATACTGTCATAAAAACCCCCAGTTCTCTTACAGGAGGGTGCATAATTTTGTCAAAACTCTCAGATGTTTTCTGGCATATTTTCCAAGATTCATTTTCTGCTTACAAGCTCTTCCACTCACAGCTTCTCTTTCCTCCCTCTCTCTATGGGCCAAAGAATATTTAAAGAGGAATTATTTTGTTGTCATGCCTTGAAAATTGTTTCCTTTATGGTAGCAGCATATGTTTTTTGGTATGTGCTGAATTTACCATCTACAGAATTGTGCTACTTTATAGGTGCAGTTTAGGGGAGAATCTAATAACGCCAAGAATTTCTTAGTTTTTATTCTGGTTCCTGATACACTCATATGCACATATGCTGAGAGATGATAAGAGCAACGACTATGGTACAAGTTCAAGTTTTATCTGTAGAGAATGATGTAGGAGCTCTTCAGTACTTAACTTACATGGCAAGGACTTTAAACACAACACTTTGAACAAGTGTTATGAGCTAACTTTTACAGTCCTATGGCTTGTGGAGAAAGATTTTTTTTTTAATTATTTTTTTTCTAAATGCACCATTAGCAGTAATCCTGTTGTCTAACTTGGCTGAGAATCAGCCTCTGGGCTAAGCAAAACAGAAGATCTTTCACTTTCAGTATCACAAAGTCTTGCTGAGAGTCACGGGCCTAAAACTTCCCTGTTTTTCTCCATCTGCTGGTATGACAGAGTGAACAGCTCTTCCATAAAGAAGACCTGTGTCCTTAACATTTCACACCTACAGGTTGGGCAGCTGAAGCTAAGACTTCATACCAAATGGAAAGCATGGATTGGAAACTTTGACATGCCATTAGAAAACTCTGTTGTGAGAATATCCAATTAAGGCCCAAGAAACATAACTCTAGCAAGATGCTTGAGCAAAACCAAGCAGCAAAAATCCACCAGATCCAGGACAGAAGAAGGATATTCCCCACCCTTGCACTGCTCCCAGCTCTGCTAGGCCAGCCTTGGATTCCACTAAGTTTAAGGGTTAAACCATGAAAAACAGGAGATGGAGTTTCTCCTTAAGAAGCCACTTGTCAGGTTCTGTCTCCTCTCTGGGCTGCAAGCAAGACATTTAACCTCCGTGTCTCAGTCTCACTGACTGCAACGCAGAGATAAACTGACATAGTCAGGGCAAGGGAGATTAATTAGTGAACACTGAGAAGGAACCTATGAAGTCCTGTTAATTATAATGTCTCATTCTGTAGCCACACCTTCAAAATAATTATATCTCAGTTTAACCACAAGTCAAGGGGACACAGGGCACAAGGAGATACAAGAGAGGAAATGAAACTCCCTCCCGTGCTGACCCACAGGTGATGTCTGAAAGTTCATAAACTGGTCACTGAGCTCAGTTGTCTGGTTTTGGGTCTGTGCAATGCAGCTGTGGGGTTCTTCCCTAGGACTAAGGAAGATGTTCTGATACCCACATCAATAACAAGTCAAAGGCAATTCTTAGGAAAAGCTGAGATAACAGATTGGCAGGGAAATACTCTTGCATATGTTAAGGCCCGTGTTAACCCCTAATTCTGCTACTGATGGACAACCCAATATTCAACATCTCCGTAACTGAAAACTACCTTTAAAATGCTTATCTTTAATTTTTTTGTTTTTTTCCACAGTAATTGAAATACCATTTCAAATAAAATTCTAGTTTTCTCTTTCTGTTTTGGACCATAAACATTATTCTGCTTTCTTCTCTTCTACCACTTTTGCATAAAATGATGGAAGTAAAGGAGGAATACCATTTCAAATAAAATTCTAGTTTTCTCTTTCTGTTTTGGACCATAAACATTATTCTGCTTTCTTCTCTTCTACCACTTTTGCATAAAATGATGGAAGTAAAGGAGGAAAACCCAATATGCCAAACTAAAATCAAATTAAGGCTTTTATTTGTTTTGGGCTTTTTTTAGACAGATTTTGAATGAAATACAAGAGTTTTCATGTTATTCATTGGCTTTAAAGCCACAAATTTTATTTTAAGACATGCATAGCCATTCACCTCTCTTCTTTGAAAAGTCCTTTCCCAAAGTAGATGAATTCCAGAAAACTATACTGAAGATAACAAAGGAAGTTAATGTTAAACTATGACATTTTTATGTAGTGATATGCAGCACTCTTTGTGCAGGTACATACGATAACACAAGTTACCCACAATGTGGTTCCTGAAGAGTCAAAAGCTGTCTAGACTGACAAAAGCTGAAACGTAGCCCTTGCAATTTTTGCACAGGATTGAAACACTGAGGAGTAAGGGAGATTTTCTAAGCACCACTGCTTCTAAAGCACAGGAATTAGACAAAAACAATCATTTCAAGGCAAGAATGGATTCACCTCTTGTGCAGATGTAGCTGTGCAACTCTGGCCATGTGATGGAGGAGATTTTTCTCCCTCAGCCAATAGTGTACCAGAAAACACAGAATTGCCTCCTGTATTTTTGGAGTCCTACATTAGTGCCTTGTTTTTAGGAGTGGTTCCTGTGCTGTTGTCACTAATTTCTATGTCAGGAGATGTTTCTCAACATCTTGGTTACCACAAGTTACAAGATTGCTTTTTTTTTTTTTTTTTCCCTCATCTTTTTAATTGTACAGGGGGTAATGAATAGCAACACAAAACTGTGATAAAAATTAATGAGACTTGAGCTTTTGCATGAACATTTAGTATCCTGGAAATCTAACACGTGGAATAGTTTATTTATTCTATTTAACCACAAGTTCTCAATGTCCTTTGCATCATTCATACCCAATTTGTGGCTTCCAGGCAAGAAATTCGGAAGTTGTTTACTCCTGTATTTGACTCCATATACACTATCTCAGCCTGAGATGGAGCACAAAATACAATACCATTCAAGCATGGTCCAAATGTTGAATGATTTATGGGAATGTCACCTCAGAGGTGCAATGAATTCTCACCTCCCAACATTTCTGTGCTGCCAGTTCCAG